ATTTTTTTATTAAATTTATTTATCAAAAACTTTTATTGTGACACATTAATTATTATTATTTTTATACAAAAAAAAATTTTAAAATGAAATATTATGGGCAATGCTCCGAAGAAACTTTATAGTTGATCTAATGTTACAGTCATTTAATACTGTTTGAATCCATATTTCAAGATTACGATCTTGTGGTTTCTGTGGGGGTCATGGTGTTCCTCACAAGACCGTTTCTACATCAAGTTCAACTTTACTTAGATTGTCGGTAAAGTGTCCTGTCAGTAAAGTGTCTTGTCGGTAAAGTGTCCTGTCGGTGAAGTGTCCTGTCGGTAAAGTGTCCTGTCGGTGAAGTGTCCTGTCGGTAAAGTGGGTGTCGGTAAAGTGTCCCAGACCCATTGCAAGATATATTAAATCATCCCAAGCCAAATGTTCATCAATGACCCCAACACATTGTGGAGCCTTGAGAGTCATTCCTTGACTAGTATGTATTGTCATAGCATAACTAAGATCCTAATCAAGTGTTTTTTCATCCTTTAACATTTCTTTATAAATATTTCAGGAAATGCATTTAATGGTAAACATACAGTCTAAGCTCTCTATACCAAACCTTTCTATAACAAACACTAAGTAAAATCTCTCTATAACAAACTTCCCTTTTGTCCCCAATTCAATTTTTTATCAATTTCTCTCTTTATAACAAACAAAAGCAGAAAAATTACATATAGGGACAGGGTTTGGTATAGAGAGCTCAGACTGTACAGCTCAAGTCATCTAAACCTGACCACTATAACAAACCTGGCAAAATTTCAAATTTTAGAATATCATTTCTAATTCAGTAAATAAAATTTCTTAAATAGGAAATGATACTTTCCTAAACTATCATCAAGAAAAAATTAAAAAATTGGGTGAAGACCGTTCCTTAATAGTTAAAGATCTATGGAAGAGGTGGATAAACATTATTTAAAATATAGAAAGTCACTAATATTCAAACAACAATAACTTTTTAAGTAATAAATATTTTACATCAAACTTTTCATAGAATTATTCTTTGACATTTACTATATAAAACTATGAAGAGTTTGAATCCAAAAGTGCTCTATGTGTCCATGTGATGGGATTTGAAAATGCTGAATAAAATTGGTCGGTTTTAGATGAATTGAGCTATACTATATCATTTTTTACTAATTCCTGTATTTCGGATGAGCCAGAAATTGAAACAAGACATTTTTGCTTGTGTGCATCTCTTGGCTGATATATTAAAGGAATTGGTTCATCTTGATATTTTATATGATGAAGTTCTAAACATTTTTGTGATGCAATTCTTTAAGAAAGATGATGGGCAGATAGAATTCAATCCGAGTCCATTCTTTTTCAAAACATTCCCATTTTCTATAATTGGAAATGCTTCTCAAAACAAGCTTGATTGTGTTCTATTGTATTCTATTATTCCGTTGATGCATGCTTTTTTAAGTTCATGCAACTTGGGACATTTGGCTTGATAATCAGTTAAAACTTCATAATAATCAGCATATACAATTGCAGACAGTTGCAGACAGTTGTGGCAAATGTAGACTTACAGCAACTGCAGCATTAGATGTCAATATTTTTTGGGTTGCAACTTCCTAGTTACAGAGCCATCTTTAACTCTAACTAAGAGTTTCAGGACACAGCATTGGCTCTGAAAAGGTTGTTGTCAATGTCAGAATCTGATGAATCACAAAGTGATGAATTGCTATTGTAGCTTCTTGACCTTCTTGATCAAGGAGTTTCTGCATGTGATTGATCTTTTTTTTCAATTTTGTGTCACATACAATCCATTTCTTACCATCATCATCTTCCTTGGGATGTTATTATTTTCATCACTATTTTTCTCATTACTAAAAAGATCTATTATCAGGATTTTCTAGACAAAGGCACCTGCCATATTTGGTTATTTGTGGCAATGGTAACTACCATAGGGTAGTTATCCCTGGTAGTTACCATTATAAAATACTTATTACTGTTTGCAAGCAGCTATGGCTGCTGTAAACAGATATGCTGCCAAATAGCTACAGTTGCTGCAAATAGCTATGATTGCCACAAATAGATAAAGCTGCTGCAAATAATTGCAAATTTTATTTTTACACATGATTTCACTGTAAATGAACAACTGAGCAATTGAATTCATCAATTACAATTTGAAAAATTTAGTTACTGCAGATTGCAAATAATTCAAGAAAATTTTCTCATGATTAATATAATAATGTTAATAATTATATTAATCTTGAAAACCTTTTGAGTTATTTGTGGCTGCTGTAACTATTTGCAACAAATAGTAGCTAACAACAACTATTTATGACAATTGTAGCTACCAGCCCAATAATTTATGGTAAGCGTCTTTATTTCCATATTTCCCTCTATTATACATTGACATTTGGAAAAGCTATCATTGTCCAGGCTCTCCTTTGTGTATGTAGTAGTGGTTAATGGTGATTCTCTAAGAAGCAAATACAAAGTTAAATTATATATGGAAATACATAATGGAGTGCATCAGAACTGTTGTGGGCCATATTCATTGAATTAAATTTATGTTACTTTGATTTTTTCTGTATTTAATTTGGCTGGAATCAAAAATGCTAATTCAGAAGCAAATTATGAATGGAAGTAAAAATTGAAAAAATTGAAAAAATTGTTCTGCATTTAACTTGTATACAGAAAAAAGCAGTTATTTTTTTGAATCACCTGATACACATTAAAACTCTATTGATATGTGTGTGTGTGTGTGTGTGTGTGTGTGTGTATAACAACAAATATAGTTGAGTGACTATTTGTTCAGGATTTTCGAGTTTTGAATTTTCCGTTTAAATAAAAATTGTAAATTATAAAAATTGTGTTACAGTATGAACATGAATCCGCAGTAGAAAAAATATAAAATTCACCAATAAAAATTTGTCTAAACATAATAAGGAATGAATGAATGACGACGGTGTACAACTAGCAAAATTTAAAAATCATCTGCAGAAAATTACTAATGTATGACGTTACACCCCGCACATTCCGCACACTGAATTTTATACTAATGAATGGGAATGACAATGATGATATGAACGATACAAGAGAATCATATTGTTCATATTGTTGCTTCAATCACTCGGGCTAATGTTAATTCAATCAATTCAATCTTTTTTCTATTATGTAAAAATATTATGTAATACACGCGCGATATTAGTTTTTGGGAAAAATTCCCGAAAAAGTTAATCTCTTTAATTTTGTTAATATTAAATGAATTGAATTGAATCCTTTTGATCCACAAAAAATATAATCAATTGTTAATTTATTAATAATATTTTCTAAAAAAGAAATTTCATCCGATAAATTAATATATTAAGAAAATGAATTTACATATTTATTATTTATTTATTAATATATGTATATGAAGCTGTATATATGTGATAGGAAACAAGTTTTCTTTATCAAATTATTATCCACACCAAACATACATTTGAATGAGAAATAAATTTCTTCTTTAATTTATGGAAATATTACCAATTACGGTTAAATTATTGCTTGTTGTACTCTCTCTTATTGCTAACCATTTTCAACTTTTTATTTTTGACTAGTAATTTTAAATTTTAAATTCTGTTTTATGTAAGAAGATCTCTAATGTCAAACGTTACAATAATTTATGGATTTTAAAAACTTTACCTTAATTAATTGACACATTCATTGTCAAACTATTTATGGTATGTAGGAGTATTGTTGTACTGTATGTATTTCATATATCTGAAATTTTATGGATATTTACATATAACTACATATGATGATACATTTCATCATTAACTTTTAATTGAAAATATTTTATTCGAGAACTTTTTTAAAACCACCTACAAATTTCTCCACACATTTTTCAAACCCCCGTTATGTTGTTGTTTCTTTCTCATACACACGCTTTTCATTTTAATTTATTTTTAAAATTTTCTAATTTTGAATTTTTTTTTCGTTGTCGAATGATGTATTTTTTTTTTTTTTTTTTTATCTTTGTTTTAAAAAAAATATTTTACGTGAATTTCAAAACTGCTAGCCTAAAATATGTAGCAAACATGCAATATATATATATATATATATATTAATGTCTTTGTCATGTTCTTCTTCCTCGGTGAAACTCCCAATATTTATTATTTGTTATATTATACGATCATTATTTATTATTTATTGCCAATCCAAATCATTAATTTCATATGGCATTATTTTATTGTAATTAATATAAATAGTAATATAAATAAAAAATAATAAGCAGTATATTTTTCAATAAAAATAAATTCAAAAAGATTAAGCAACATATTTAGAAAATAGGCGGTATATAATAAACTATAAATAAATCGTAAAGATAGATAAATTTGCTTTGTTTAAAGGTTGGTTTTACATAACAATAAAATAAATCTCACACAAAAAAAATTTTTTTTTTTTGAAATATAAATTAAAAATTTCCTTATCTGGAATGTATATTATATAAAATATGAAATGAATATAAAAAAAATATAAAAATAAAATAAGCAAACAAACAAATAAATAAAATACTTTTAAATCTCTTTATTGTAAAATGAATTGGGCGAATATATACAAATAAAATATAGTATAATATTATTCTTTGTTCTCTATTGAATAGCGTCATTTTTTGTGATTTGAAATAAAGAAAAAATAAATCAAAATAAAGAAATGACGGAAACTATTCAAAATTCATTATTATTATTATATTTTCAAAAGACGATAAAAGGAAGTAAATTTTTTCCTGAATTTATGACTCTCCAGACGAAAAAAAAGTCTTCATTTTTTACGATTTAAAAAATTCATTATCGAAAAATTATATTATAAATCAAAAATTTCAAATTAAAATATAAAAAACCAGTTTAAAATCTTGATTTTAAGAATTTAAATATAAATATTTACGTATATACACTCCTCATATAATTTAAAGAATTCAAAATTAAGTTTTTTTCCTTAAAATATTTCAATTAAAAAGATGCTACCAAAGTTAAATAATGACGTGATTAGGCATATAATCATAAATGTGATTGAACTATCCAACTTTTCATATAGTAAATATCATTCAGGATATTTATATAATTGCATCCGTGTTAATCGTGATTGGTGTAGAATCGGCATGCCTTTTCTATGGACTCAGCCATTCCATTTCGATGAAGATAGAAGCATAAAAATAATTAAAATGTTTTTAAGATTTTTAAATGGTCAAGAAAAACAAGAATTATTAGATTATGGAATGGATATCGATTTATTAATAGAAGAAGAGGGACCCATGTCATTTCTTTTTGAATATCCGCGATATATTCGATCATTAAATTATGAATCTTTTGTACAAACAGTAATCCGTTTATGCACTGAATTATCAGATAAATCTTCAACTTTCAATTACGAATCTGAACCAAACGCAGATATCATTCTCGCCAAAATTATAATGAGATTATTCATAAGATCCAAAGCCCAATTAAAACATCTTGCTTTATATGATGTTTTACAAAACTTGCAAGTTGATCTTGAACCGTATTATTCATTAGTAGATCCACAAGTCAAACCTTTATTTGAAGGATTAAAAAGTTTAGAAATGAGCTTTGCCGCCAGAAAAAATTTTTTAATCAAAATTTTAAAAGAAGTTTGCACTCAAGTGGTAAATACACTTGATATATTTTATATTTACATTATCCTTTAACCTCAAAGAATTGTCAATTAAAATTTATTATTATTATTTTATTAGGAACACTTGCATATAAGTACATTATGGTCTCGACATTCTAATGAAAGACATGTTGATATGTTTGGTACTGAGATCACATCTTTCATATCAGCACAACAAAAATTATTAACATTTCGATTAACAAAATGCAAAGGATATACTCGCGTCTTCTTTACAGCACTATCGTCACATGCATCAACATTACAACAAATCGCATTCGATCAAGTGGATTTCAAAGGATGTGGTGCATGGGAAATGTTAAATAATTGCAACTCGTTGGAATTACTCGATATTTGTCAGTGTACGAATATCGAGCGAGAAATGGTTCAGACTCTCATAAATCATTTGCAACCTTTGGAAAACCAACTTCTACACAATCAAAATTTAAAGTTGTTTGCGGATAATTTCCAAGCCAGATACATTGGAGCAAAACTCTGTGAAGAATTAAGAGAATGGTGCAGAGAAACCAATCGCATTCACAGTAATAATATTTATATGAGTCATCAACATCACATAAATAGTTATGTTGCAAATAACAATAGCATCATTAATAATGTCGATGATGTTAGCAGAGAAAATATTGATAACATTAATAATAGTAACATTAGTAGTAGTATTAGTACTATTAATCATATTCTTAATGATAATAATGTCGATACTAATAGTAGTAGTAGTAGTGCTATGATTTATTATCATGAAAATTCTTTTGATACGAATAAATACGATTATTATGATTATTATGATTATTATGATTATGGCGATGATGATGATGATAACAATGGTTATAATAATTATTAAATAAATATATATATATATAGCATATAGATGTAGAAACATACAAAAACATTATATATAAGATTTTTTATATTTTATATTTTTATAAATATTTGTTATATTTTTTTTCTTTTAAGATTTTATTTATTAAAAAAAAAAAAAAAATTTAAATTGTTTCTGTTCATGGTTAAATTGTTTTGTTCACGGTTAGTTTTGTTCATGATTGTTATTTTTAAAATTAGTATATAAAAATGCAGTATGGGCGCGAAATTTCTTTGATTGGCTAATCTAATTTTCACATGTGTGAATTGCCGCACAACATATTCTTAGAAAAAATATATTGAAAAAAAATTTTTTTTAAAGGTAGCAATTATACAATTCCTAGTAAAAAGTTATCTTTCTCTGTCTGTCTATTCCAATTGGCGTGTTTACAAGGGCTGCTGGCGTAAGTAAATCCTAATTTAGTAACAATTGTCTTGACTAAAGTTGACTTAACATATGACTAATAGTTTAGTCAAGTGTCTCATTAGGGTTACGCACTCAGCCCTGGCGTTTACTGAAATGCATCATTTTATATGTCCTTAAAGAAATGCCATGTAATAAGGAATTTACTATCTACTATCATCATAATAATCCTGATGATCCCATTGTCATATGTTCCAACAACATCGAGGTTGTTTGTAAATATAGTAATAATCAAATATTTCGAATGTTGGGGCTTCACCCTTTGAGGTTCTATTTTTTTGGTGGTTAAAGAAGTGGGTAGTGTGGAATAGCCTTTATTCTCTTTAATTTGAAACAACAGTTAGTATGAAGACTAATTTATTATTAATATTAATAATTACAGTGGTGGTATGGGGACATATAATTCAAATTAATATGGAGACTATGATTAATAGTTATTAATTTAATATATTTTTATCTACATCAAAGACAATATGTTGGATTGAAATAGTGTTCTTTTATACATTATTAAAAATGTTTATATTTTGATACTGTCAATTTTTTATCGTTTTTACTAAATATGGCAGTGATTTCCTTTAGTTATTTTACCAAGACAAATTGATAAACTATGAATAGAAAATAACAACAACAACAATGATACAATTTAAAGATCAAAAATACGAATTGCTTATAAATGAACACCCCACAGAAGACCCTCATCTGAACTTAACACAAGTTTTTTCTCAAATCACCACCTCTCCAAATTCTTGCTTCTCTTACTCCATTTGGCCTGAAACTTGGAATCTCAATTTAAAGTTTCAAATAAATTAGAATATTCTTACAATATCGGCAAATATCTCATTCTTGCATCATCAAAACAATCATTTAGTTATCTTCATTATTTAGATTGCAAGTGGTGCTCTATATCTTAACCATAATCAACTTAAATTCTTCAACATCCAATGCTAACTGTTGCCATGATTCCACAAAATTCTTAACAAAAAGCAAAGGACCTTCCCACATTGCTTTCACAAAATCATACTCAATTCCTGTGTTCTCAACTCCTTTGTGGAAAGGAACATCTACCGCAAACCCTTCAATTGCCTCACAAGAATTCTTCTATGTCTCTGTCTAGAACCAGTCAGAGAAGCAAAATTGAATGAAAACCAAGGAATGTCAAAAAGAAAAAAAATGATTCAACTTAAAAAAATAACAAAGAAATGCATAGCTGGAAAGTCAAAATTGTTGAGATCATACAGAATAAAATAATGTTAAACTGAAAAGGATTTAATTATTTAATTGAGATTCTGTGAGCTTAAAGATGAGTTGAAAGGAAAAAGACCAATCGAAGAAGGACAGTTCTTTACCCTTTAAAGCAAAACTCTGGAGAAAAAGAAATGTCCTCTGAAGGAAAACTATTTAGCAAGAAGTTAAAAGTATCAATAAGAAAACATCATACGAGTAAGAAAGATCATTTTGAGCTATCCCAAACACTTTTAGAATTACCTTTTATTCAGGAAAGGGTTGATTCTATAATTAAATGTTTTTTTTACCTGAAATAGTCATTTAAATATCATTTAGATATTATTTGTGCTATAGGTGTAGGTAGTTTGTGGCACTTTTTTCATTGTAGTAAAAGTTTTCATACTGATGATATCTTGCAAACAAAATATTGCTTATTAGTGATGATCGCCATATTATTAAATTATCCAATCAATTTATTACTTAATTGAAATTTCAAATTTAAAGAACTTTAGCCAATCAACCAGGGTTCTGACCCAAACACCACACAATTCGGCTATACGATTTTCAAGCACAACATATAATTTAAAAAATTTGTTACGCGAAAATCTTAAAGCTAATTACAGAGTAAATTGGAACGATATATACCCATTTAAAGCAAGAATAAATACACCAATTAGGATAGGAAAGAGAGTGTCAAGTAAATTAGATGAATAAGATTGAATAAGCTTTTACTGATGAATGGTTTTAGTTTGATTTATATCATTTCAAGCCAAAGCTTGTTATATATTTGATCTACCAGATTCCCAATAAATAAACAATTATTTTTTTTTTTCATAAAAATAAAAGATTGTGGTGGTTATAAATCCACGATAGTAAGAAAGTTGTATGTAATAAATAGATAATGAATAAAATAATTAATGAATAAATAGTCTTACAATAATTAGGATTGAATTTTTGCAGAAATCATGACAGTTTCAAGATTTTTTAATCTTTTAATTAGTGAAGTAGCATTATAAGGAAACAATTGTTTGAGTGATAACGAATGGATTGAATTTTTTAAATTTGAAAATGTTTCCAACGTCTTTAAAAAACTATAATTGTTATTATTGACTGTGTTGTAATTATTAACAAAAATGTGCATTTTATCATCTTCATTATCATATTCATTACCAACAACAACATCAACAACATCATCACCATCATCATCATCACTGTCATCATCATCTTCATCATTATATTCATTACCAACATATTCATTACCAACAACAACAACATCAACAATATCAACATCATCACCGTCATCATTATCACTGTCATCATCATCTTCTTCTTCATCTTCTTCATCTCCTCCAATATGATTATCATCAACTTTTTTACAATAATTTATAAATGAACAAATGTCTTGTTCAATAAATTTACAATAAGTTATAAAAAACTCCAAAAATTCTGTTTCATTTGAAATTAAGAAATCCAACAATATATCAAATGAAAATCCTATTGAATAAAGAAACTTTATAAATATTTCATGTGGTGAAATTAAATTTGACAGGAATTGTGTTGTCTGATATTGAATTTGCTCTAATAAATATCTGCTAAGAAAAAAAGAATTTTTTTTTAATAAATAGAAATTTTAAAATTTAATAAATTGTAAGATTATATTTACTTTTTTCTCTCCTGAATGTTGTTATTATTATTATTTAAATGTTGAATAAATTTCTTTGATTTTATAGATAATAATAATAAATCATACATAAAATTTATTAAGTCATTATCATTATTTGTATACCAATCAAAAATAAAATCTGATAAATTTAAATCTACAAAAATAAACAAATAAATAATTTAGAAAATTTTAATAATATTATCTCATTTGTCTATTTAACTAATAATTGATTACCTTTATAATTTAGTTTATAAAGATTTAATAAATTATTATTATTATTAATAAAGTTTAGTATTATAATTTCTTCTGCCCCTTCTCCTCCTATTAATAATAAATCAATTAATGAAATGAAAATGATTAAGTATATTTGTAACAATTGCTTAATCGATTCAATTGTCAATCTAAATCCTCTTCCATTGTTATTAATATTGATGAACTCTGTATAATTATTTTTGTTTTCTTCTTTGATTGAATTTTCTAACCATTTAATAATAACTGTGTTAGCATTATTGTCGTTGATTTCCTCTCTATTATTATTATCATCATTATTGTCATTGGAATTATTAAATGGATTTTTAAATATTTCTTCGGAATAAATTTGAATTATCTTGAAATATTTTAATGACTAAAATTAAAAAATAATGTGTAATTAATTAATATCATAAATAATTAAAATAAATTAAATAAATAATAATTAAATAAATACTTACAATATTTAGATTTTTTGAGGTTTTAATTGTTAGATATAAAAAATTCAAAATCTTATTAGTTATTATTGATTGATAATTATTTAATAATAATGACAATAATAAACAACTGTCATAGTAACTATCGTTGGAATTATAACTGTTGAAATTATCATTTATAAAAATTAAATCTAATTTATTAGAAATATTTTTAATTAATAAATCTAAATCACTATTATTATTGTTATTATTTAATGAATATAATAATTTTTTGATATTATTAACAATCAAAATTAAAAAATAATCTGCATTATTATTATTACTATCAGTTCTGTTATTATTACTACCACTATCAAGAATAATCTTATTAATGTAAAAATTGTCTTTGATTAATCTATTTTCTAATAATTTTAATAATCCATAACCTATATGATTATAATTATAATCGTTATTGTTATTATTATTGCTTGTAGTTGTCGACAAAGAATCCAATGACTTTCTAAAATCTTTGATTATTTTATAAAATATTTCCAGTATTAATTCAACAACTAATAATGATGACGATGACGATGACGATGATAAATTGTTGCTATTAGATGAACGGTTATTACTATTACTATTATTATTGTCAATTGATATTTCATAAATTTCAAATAATTTGTTTATTAAATCATTTTGAATTGCTATTATTAAATCTTGATTATAATCATCTTTAATCTATTATAAAAATAAAACTACTATTAGTATTAATCCATTGTTTAATTTAGTTGACTAATTAATTTACCTTTTTATTTGATAAAATCGAGATCCAATTTAATAAGATTTTTTTGATTAAATAGATAACAAACTTACTACTACCGTTACTGTCATTATTATTGTTGTTGCTGTCACTAATGTTAATAAATAAATAAATATCTAATAATTTAGTTTGATATTTATAAAATATTTCGAATATTCTTTTCATCATTATTAATTTATCTTCCTCATTTTTGTCTTCCTCGTCATTATTTTCATCATTATCATTATCATTATAATAATAAATCTTCAATATTTTATCTACTTGACTCAATTTGTCTAATAATATTTTTTTATTGTTATTGTCATTTTTATTAATTACTAAAATATCAAGATTCTTAATAAATTTTTCAATTATCAAATTATTTTTAATATTATTCATTATAGTAAAGATTTTTGTCAATCAATTCTTTTCATAAATCGATATGTGTGGTAACACGAAATATTGAGAGGGAAAATTTTATCATAATTCCAATTTGTTCTTCGCGCCATTAATAAATAGGTAATAGAACAGTATATTTATTGTTTATCTGCCGTCACACAATTATAAAAAAGTAAATTTCGAATATGTATATGTTTGACCATTTGATTTGGCGATGGATGACATACAATAGAGTTTCCCGTTCTATTATACCTTTGATCTTTGATCTGCAATTTGTCTATCACTAAACACGAACACGACTGAATAATAAAAAATATTATTTATTATTATTGTTTTGAGGAGTGACCCCTTTTTGCTTTTGCTCCACGTAAAGGGCTTTAATTTTAGATGACAGTTAGTTAGTTATCTTCATAATAATAATAGACAAACGGTCGATATATTTCTTTATTAATCATTGTAAGGTACGAAAAGTAACGTAAAATGAAACTTATTATATTATTATTCAAAAACATTATATCTGCTCATTTTAAATCAACTGTCTATTATCTTTCAATAAACTATTATATTTTTTTAAGTATTGAAGACGGGGAAGCTGCTCTTGAAACACCAAAAGAAGATGTTAAAAATTACAGTTATTCTTTATCTTCCTGGGTAACAAAGGTTAATCTGACTGACGACCCCGAAGATACGATGACGCGATTTAAAATTTTATTTCAGGGGGGGATGCCATGGCCCTGAATAAAATTATCAATTTATTGACTTGTTGTCAATGACGGCTGTTAAAGCCTTAAAATTGAGCTGTGGCTGTTAAAGCCATTTAAAATCGGGTTGTTTTCAAAGAATGAAGGCTGTTAAAGCCTTTTATTCGATCAAAGCCTACTAACATGTTATAATCACTTCACCCGTGGAAGAGTTTATTAAGGGTAGTAATCATTTGATATTATTACCTGAAGAATTTCCACGGTTATGAGGATATGATTGCATGTTTGTAAAGGAAGATTTTATTTAAATCTGACACCTATGATAACATCAGATTTATTATTTTGGAAGGGGAATAATTTTCGGATTTACATACAACTTGCAATTGGGAGGCGCGTATTCACACACTCACACACACAAAAAAAGAAGGAACCAACTAGACGACGAGGCAATGGAACCATCAGACTAAAACAACAAGAATATCAATATTTTATTTCCCAAATGTTTTCAAAAATTACATTTTGCATGGTTCTAGTATCATTTCTGCTCGAACGATGCAATTATTATGAATGCGCATTGCATAATCATCGTGAATATTCTAATAGACACGATACAATAGTGGAAACAAAGGTGCTCGCTCACATTCAAGGAAAGGATTAAATACAACAAAAAAGATAAGTAATCCAATAATAGTAGAGAATGCCTACATGCAGGGGGGACTCCAAACGTTTTAAATTTGATTCTTTGACTTGTTTTTAGGGGTATAAATACAGCACCACCAAATTCTTTATAAACGGGCTCACTTATCAAAGGTTGCGATGGATGAAAACATTTCTAGAAGTCACTCCTTTTAGCGAATGAAAACATTTCCAGGGATATAACCTACAAACTAGCAAAGCGAGTGAGTTTTGCCCCACAGGGATACGTTAGCAACACATGAATTCAAAAACACTGACCTGCAAATGAGCAATAGAGATTAAAAAGGGATCGAAGCTCTAACATTAAGCGAGCATCTTATCTGTCATGTTAATTCACATATCCAATTGTCAACATTATCGAGGTGATAAAAGGTTATTAACTTTTAACTCTTCTAAAGTTTTCAAATTAAAGAACAGAGGAATTAAATTAATTGAATTTAACATTAGACGAGCATCTTATTCATTACGTTATTTCACATGTCCAACGGCTGATGTTGTCAAGATCATGGATGGCTATTAACTAGATTGGAGTTTTTAAAATTAAAAACTAAAAGAATTAAATTAATTGAAACACTCTTTTGATATAAAATATATTACTATTCAATAAATTATTTAATATGCATGTAATAATAATAATAATAATAAATTCACCAATCGCCTTGATGCTGTTGTGTGTTAAATCGAAATTTCAATTTTTTCACGCACAATGCCAAATAAAAAATTCACCCGTTATTTGAACTTTTTAAAAAGAAATTCTTCCATCTACCTGATGTCAAATGAACTTTTAAAAAGAACGATAACAAAAAATTCATCTACAGTAATATGTGTGTGTGCATGCGTGTATTCATACTTTCAATGTTGCTTCTCGTGCTTCGGAAAGATTTCTTTTTAAATGTTCTACACGAGAACATCATTGGTCGAGCTAAAACGTGTTCTTAGTAAAAGGTGTTTTCATGCAGAGTCGCTTCTATTAAAGAATGATATTATAATGTCACTCATTACATACTGTCACTACAAGAAAGTTTTCAGTTTCATTATATAATTATAAAGTTATTATTATTCAACTTGGTTGCAAAACATATATAAATTCAAGTAATATTTTTCTAATAATCCTACTAAACACAACGTCTAAAAAAGTTCTTTCTTGCCATAGATACTTTCTGCTCCGCGATCTTCTTCTTCTATAGTTGCATCCGATTTATTGGTTAACGTTGATTTTCATTAACCATCAAAGAATTTTCTTTGGATAACTTAGTGTCCATATGTAGTACTGTAAAGAATTGATTAAAATGCCAAAACAGCTATTTATTGTGGTTGGTTGCTCGGTATTGGTTTTGGAAGTGTGTTTCATTTTCTTTAAAAAGGATACTCCTGTGGTTGTGTGTAAAACTCAAAGATTGAAATCAATGAAATCAAGAAAAGGAAAGAGAGAGTATGTGTATATATTAATAATGATTTAATTTGAATTTACCTTCAATCAAAATTTCTCAACCTTGAAATTAGAATAAACAAATAATCAATCGAGAAGAATACCATGGAAAGTAACAACCACGATGGAATTAAAAAGAAAGAGTTATGGGCAAAATGGTTGGTTGGCCCCTTGACGAATTTAAAAAAAATTTTACTTTATTAAAATTATCGCAACAAATTAATTGTTAAAAATCCAGAATTGTTTTTAAAATCTCAATGATTGAAAAATCAATGCTTATCTTGATAATTAGGAAGAAATTGTTATTTGAGAATTCGGAAGTAATCAAGACATGGGAAGAAAAGATATTTCAGTGGAACAATGGTGATGATGTGCGTGAAAATCAAATTCGTGTGAATTTTTCGTTTTGGGGTGGGGTGATTTGGATACAAAATTCTGATTGGCTAATTTGAATTTCACGCGCGTGAATTTCATATAAAATGGCATTCGAGGAATTATCATACGACGATATTACATTCTATTACCCTTATGAAAGGGAGTGTATGTTCAATCATTATTATTATTATATACACTAAATTTGAAATCGCTTTGTGTTTGTGGCATAATGTTCACTTTATCTGTTTTTGTTAAAGTATGCCCCATATTATGTCAAAGAATATAATGTTTGGAACATACTTCAAAACTTGAGGACAAACCCTTTAAACATCGATGTTTTATTATCCCAAAACGTGTTGATGTTATGCTTACATTCCATACAACGAATCCGATATATCAACCATCAGTAAATTTAATGTCGAAGTTGTAGGTAATTTTAAATAGTATGCATATTTATCTCCAGGTATTAAACTTTTTGTTACACTCTGTATGTGTGTATATTATTTACCAACTATGAATTAATTACTCAATTATCATCTCACATCTTCCCATTAAACTAATAAGTTTAATTATAATATTATTTGGAGTCCTATCCTATTCTCCATCATATACTGCTCTAATTCTGAGAGATCTTGGCCCGTGCATTTCCACACTTCTTTTAACGATTACCCAGAGCTTTTTCAATTGGATTTAAGTCTGGACTCTTGGAAGGCCAGTCCATAACTTTGGGAAATTTTTCACTGAGGAATGTTTGACAAACCCTACTTGTATGCATTGGGTCATTCTCTTGCTGGAAACGCCAATCCAAACATTCTATTGATCCTTTGCTTGTGTTTTCGTAATAAAAATTTACATTCATAGTTCCTCTGAAGCAAAAAAGAAGTTTTTCCTCGTATCCCGTGCAAAAATTTCAGTTCGATCTTTAGGAATCCTTCGTACTAGCCTTTCACCTTTGTACCATTGGTTATCGTGTTTCTGAATAACTAAAGATAGTCTTATCAGAAGATAGAGTTATCATTGAAGTATTTAGTTGTCTAGTTACCCAATTAATACGAGCTTCTTTGTGTCTTTAAAGGCAATCTATTTTTGTAGCCCAAACATGCCAAATGTCTTGAAACCGTCATATGTGACACTTCAGCAATATTATTTGATGATTTTCTTACTAAAGTTCTTATCAATTGCTTTTGATTCATGCGTAGGAATTTTTTGGGACGACCACTTCCAATTTTTCACCTTTTTCATTTGATTATAATAGATAGTTGACATTTTGATGCCAGTTCTAGAATGTATTTCTTTTGCAGAAGTGGTTCTGCTATTCCACAATTGTAATATCAATATCGTTTTCTTTGAGTATCTTTATCGGAAGATGATATTATAACAATGATTTCACAACAAAAACAAAAAAACAAAATAGTTTAAAATGGTTTGGGGTATATCGTTTACATGTTCAAAACATGACGCGAATCGTTTTTATTTTGGAAAAGTTATTAATATTTGAAATATATGAAATTTTTTTGTATATAATAAATGTTATTATGATTCAGGAAGGAGTATTGAACATCTTCAAGCGTTTCCAGACAATAATTCTTAATAGTATCATCAAATTATCTTGTTCATCATTCAAAGAATTTATATCGATGTATCAAACTATCTATAAAACTTGTTAAAATTATTATTTTGTTATGGAAGATTTCACATTTAAAATATAGTAAATCATATATTACCTGTTGTTTGGATTAACTATTTTTCCCTTTATGTATTTTCTTTTTAGTAAATTCTTCATTTTCTTTTTTAGCTTTCTACGAGAAATAAATTTTATTCATTGATTCATTTATTGATTAGTTAACAAAAAAAAATAATCATACAATAATGATAATAATAATACAACACAACATTTATTTATTTACCATAAATGAAGATGAAAATGTTAAAAGTAATCCTAACAAATCTTCAATTTTTTTATCATCTGGATTTTCTCCATAATAATAAGTCACTATTTTTTTCGATTCTTCTTCTAGTTCGTTTGTCATATTTTTAATTTTTTCAATTATTGGTTCTGCACCTTGAATAAATTCCTAAAAAATGTAATGTAGTAATTAATATGATTAATATATAATATATTCATACACATACATACACATTCATATGTAACATATTTATGAAACTTACGCTCATAACTATTATAAAATTATCTTTAATTTCTGAATTAGTTGTAGAAGAAAGAAGAGACATTTGCTTTAAAATCTCTAATTCATTTTTGATCTGTGAAACACCCGAGAACAATGACGCCACAGATGATAAAATTGAAGTCGTGGAAATTCTAGCTGATGCCTCCAAATTTGGTAACTCTTCCATAAAATTTATAATGTCACTTTGACACATTTCTAAAGTGTATACTAAATAATGTAAAAGTGTAGCTATTCCTTTTCCATTACTACTGTCCATTGCCTTTGTGTCTTTCATCTATATTCAATCAATAATAAATAAAGTGAATGAATGAATAAATGAATATTTCTGTCTGTCAATAATGATGAGAATGTATATAAATAAATACCTTTAGAAGTGCGTCTAATTGAAATCCTGATGCATTACCTCGAAATGATGAAGTATTTAAATAATTGCCAATTACCAATACAGTCTAAATATATACAAACAAATATTATTAATATGATGTATATAATTTATTATTAAATTCTTATTTTTACTTTAGTTATTTGCCTTTAGTAATTTTTTGAATTTTCTTGATGATTTTATTTCAGCAAATGCTTCATGCAACACATTAATTTTCTATTTATAAAAAAATTCAATATCATTAATAAACATATAATAAATATGTGTGCATGTAAATTAATAAATATAGAAAGTGGCTTACAGGTACAAGCTTTTGAACTTTATTTTCAAATTTATGCCTAAATATCATACAAGTTAATCGTTCAGCCAATCTTGAAATCATGACAATATTCTTGAAATAGTTTTCTGCATTACCAAGTACCGACAAATCACCAGTATATTGAGTGATTAAAATTTGTTCTTGTAACGTTGGAGCATATTTTTTAATTGATTTCAAATTCTCAATTGACAATTTTCCATCATCAATTTTTAAAATAGCATCTCTTATTTCAGAATAAGACATTTTAACTTTTGATAACATAATGGCTATGTTATTGGCTCGACTAAAATCTAATAGTGTGATAACTGTATTCTTTTTTGTTTTTTGTTGTGATGTTGATGTTGATGATGTTGGATTTTGATTGGCAACAACTTTTGGGCCAAACAACTCATCCAATTCTCCAAAATTAATTGGGATATTATCACTAGGAATTTCTTGCCATACTGTTTTATTAATCTCATTTACCGAAAGCTTATTCCAAAATAATTGTTTTAGTGACCCTTTTGATTTTGAAGAAAACTTACTTGCAGATAATGATGGAGGAGGTGGTGGTGGCGGTGGTGATAAATTAGAATTATTTTGAGAAAGCGATTTTGTTGTCTGTTGTGGTGGTGATGATGATAATGATGGCAATAATGGTAATGTTGTAGTATTAATAATAATATTGTTATCACTAATGGTAGCAGTGGAAGCAATAGAAGTAGATGGATTATTATTATTAGTTAATTTTCTTTTTGGTGGTGGTATTGGTGGAGATTGTTTATTTATTTTTGTGGTAGAATTTTGTAGTTTTGAATAAGAAAGACAAGGAGTCGAAGAAGAATTTATTGTGAAGATGGAATTGGTGTCAATCTTTTTTGCTGTTGATGGTAATAATGGTTTTGGTTTTGTTATACTAGATTTAATATCCTGATTATGTTTTTCTAATAATTTTGGAGATATTGGCAATTGAGTTGTTGGTAGCGGTGGCGGGGGATTGTGAGCTTTAAATTGCTGACTAATTATTATTGAAGCAATAGATGTAGCACCAGATGAAGTAGTGGTGGTGGTAGACGAGATATCATCATTATTATTTTTAATATTATTATTTGGAGAAGATCGAAAAAGGTTTTTAAAATTTTGAAAAAATGATATTTGTGACGCTTGTGGAGATTTTGAAGAAAGGTCAAGTAGATCAGATGTTGGTTGTGATATTTGAAGAGACAACATTGATTTTTTTTCATCCAGATTATTATTATCATCATCTGAATTAAGTTTTTGTGTATATTTAAATTTATCGATTATCTTTGATTGTTGCTTAACCTAAAAACAAAATAATAATAATGAAAATAATGAAATATCATTTATTAATTATTTAACACTTATTATTATTAATTACCTTTAAACTCAAATTGTTTATTGATTTTTTTAGTGAATCAATTTCTTGGTCAGTTATTATTCCACTGACTAATGAATATTTTTTGCCTATTATGTGCTGAATAGATGAATTATAATTATTCATAACACTTTGCCACTCTATACATCAATATCGAGTATTAGTATAATGTGTTAAAAAAAATAATTAGTTGGAAATTAAAAAATTAAGCATACGTTCTTTAATACTATTTGCAGTTTTGATTTTTTCAATAAATTGTTCAATAATTGCCAATACTTCAATTCTGTTTTGTCTACAAAATTAAACAAATATTTTAGCTATTTAAATATTAATATTAATAATTGATTAATATAAATATAATTAATCATATTTACTTGTTTGAAGATCTACAAATAATTTTCAAAAAGTTTTCAAGAGATCCAATAATATGAGAGTGCAAATTCTCATCATTTTCAATTTGTCGTAGTAATCCATAGATAATATATGATGAATTGCTATTAGTTAATCGATAATATTATTGTAAATTTTGTTAATATATTAGTTAATTTATATGTATTTTTTCCAGAAAATTGAAGTATACTTTGCGTCTCTAATTATTTCATGAGCTATATTGTTCAATTCAGCAAAATCTTTCTTATGCTCTTCTTTATAGACGTTGATTTGATTTATCAGAGAATCAGGAGGGTCAGCTTTTTTAATAATTCTAAAATAATTGTAGATTTCTTTTCTTACAAATCCTTCCTGTAACAAAATACGTTCTTCAATTTGTTCTGATTTATTAACAATGACATTTGTTAAATTCAACCTAGTCACCCTATATTCAATTGATGTGCCATCTTCCTCCTTTCCATCAACATCATTTTTTGTTTTAAAAGTGCCCATAAAATATTGAAAAAGATATTTTTCCTGATTGATCACACGTGAATCAGAAAATGCATCAACTACCAGTATATGCCTATTCAACGACCATACACACAACACTGAAAGAATCTCTGCAATTTGAGCACATAATTCATTGTTTGGAGTAACCAATAAACAAAAAACAGTTCTCAAGATCAATGAAGGTGATTTTAAAACTTCACATCTGCCAATCTAAATTAATAAATTAATTAAAATTTATTTGTTAGTAAGAAGAAATCAATAAATTTTTAAGTTTTTTTTTCATTAATCTTTGCCTTGGAATTCGTAATACAACGAAAACATTGTGATTGAATTTGATAATATTGATCTGAATACTTTGACACAACACTAAAAAAGAAGAAGAGCAAATGATATATAATAAACCTATAATAGTATTAAAATATAAATTAAACTGGACTGATTAATCAATTCTTTACTTCTTTTTATCAAGAACAGCATATTTTTCAAGTAAAGATTCTAGAATCTTTAATCCATTCTTGTTAATGAATTCTTTAATCCAAGAAAAATTAGCAGATGATAATACTGTTCGTAAAGATAATAGATATTCCATTAAAAGCTTTGATGAAATATTTCTAATTATAAATTTTTTTCAGAGAAAAAAACTTTTTTTAAAAAAAAATTAGGTAATTATATAATTTATATATATATGATATAGTATAAATAGTACTTTTGTGATAGTTTTTCAATATAAAATTCAGGTAAATCTTGATACTTTGATGAATTGTTGCCACTATTATTATTGATTGGCGATTGGCTTCTTTCTTCCAATGAACCATTTGTTGTAATATTTTTATTGTTATAATTATCATTATTTTTGTTGTTGAAACAAAGCCAATAAATCAATGAAAAAGCATTAATAATAATATTAATATCATCATCACCACCATCATCATCATCACTTGATATGCTGACAATAGGTGCAACTTCTGAATTATATATTTGAATTAGTTCTGAACTATTGTGAGATTCAGTGTCAGGAGATGTGTTCAACATTGTTCTTAATTGTGGTGATTGCTTTAAATGCTCTTGAGAAGAATGCAGTTGTAATGGAAGAGGTGATGGCGAAGTTGCTAATTTAGTTGTTGAAGAAGCTTTTGATGATGAATATTTGATATTTTGAAATTTTTGATTGATTGATCGTGATTGACAGTTTTGATTTATTATGATTCTTTTATGATCCATCGAAATTTGTGATAATTTTTCTCTGGTAGAATCTTGTATATTTAATTTGTCCTTTAATTAATTAATTTATTACTTTTTCCAAATTTTAATTAATTTTTTATTAATTTATTAATCTAATCCCAATATCTCTGATAATTGTTCGTCATAATACCTACATCATTGAAATTTGATCTAAAACTATTGTGATCAACAATAGCTATTATACTATTATTATTACTTTCATGATTACTATTTCCACTAATACCACTTATGTAATTACTTGGACCAGGTGGATAAGCAACATTTATTATCATTACCATCATCATTTGCTGCCTCTAGTAATAATTCATTTAAAACTGAATTGAATTTGAAACTATATTTGTATTTTTGGAATTTTTATTTTCATCAGAGAATTATTTTCTAACATTATATATTAATTAGAAGAATTATTTTATATTTTCTTCAAAAGAATCGAAGAAATCGGGCAGAACTAAATTTATAAGTTTTTATCATAAGAATGGTGGGGTGGTTACTGCGATCTCTGCTAGTTAATTATTAAAAGAGTGGTTCACATCTAATTATTAATACGACTGTTATTCTTAGGAATGAAAACAATAAAAGAATTAAAATAGAAGATTTAAATAAAGGTACGATGTCTTTTATGTATATTTAATAAAGAAAAGTGTAAAAAATGGGAAAAGGGCCTAAAATACACATGAAAAACTTTTCTTTATCAAACGATGTGTAAAAGAAGAGAATGAAATGATCAGCGACCTTGATTGACGAGCCCATCAAAGATAAATCTGATCATGAAGTTATTGAGAAATTCTCCCGCGGTGGAACAATATTTGATGACTAGAGATTTTTTTCCGACAATGAGAAACCTGGAGATCTAATCGACGAATAGAAACTTTAAACAAGAAATCATCAGCACGAAGAATCGTATTGAATATTTTAAAAAAAACCGTGCGAAAGAAATGAACATCACTGGATCACTAATCGAAGAAAATTACGATGTAAGATTTGTTTGGGAAAAAGTTGACCGTTTGGTAGCATGTAAAAAATGTACTCAAAAAAGTTGATAAGTGTATGATTTGCCGTGCAGAAATATAGAATCACGTTTTAGAATTTAGATTATTTCGCAAAAAAAAAAAATTCTCCGTAACTTAATGAAATTATTACTTATTTTTAACTGCCAACAAATTTCCTTTTGGCCTGGGGTCCTTCTTTGGTGTATAAATGTTCACTTTTCCTGGTTTTGAATTTTGCAACTCTTTAGTTGCAGAGCCATCTTTACTTTTGTCTAGAGATCAATCCCAAGAAAGAACAAATATCATGATCACATTACATTGGCAGTACAATTGTGATATTGATCCCTGGTAATATCAATATTCACTTTGTCTGGTTTGTTGCAGTATGCCTCATATATCATTATTATTATTATTATATAAAATTAAAATTTGTTTTTTTGTTATTCATACTTCTGTTTTATTGAATTCAAGAAATCTTCTACATAAAGTTTCTTTTCATAAAAATTATACATAATTGTAAATAATTATTAGTAAAATAAATTATATATCATTATATAAATTACTAAAATTGTTTTCATTATTCATACTTTTATTCAAGAATCTTCTACGTAATGTTCCCTTTTATTTTTCCGTTGTATAGTCTGTATTTTAGCATTAACATTCGCATTAGTATTAGTATGTATTCACTATTCCGTGGATAATTTTTATAGGATGTGACATTGCATTTAAAATCGCGTTTCAACGAATTTTACATGTGAAGCAAAAAAATCAAAAATTCATTGTAACGCGAATTTAATTATAATTCGTTGAAACGAGATTCGCAGAACAAAAAATTTTTATGTATTAGATAGTATATATTAAATCAATAAACGCATGATTCATTGGGTTAATTTATTTATATATTAGATAGTATATGTTGATTCGAATTTCGGAGCCTTAGGAAGCTATTACTACTTCAAGTTGAAAGAGGGAAAAGACTCTGGAAGAGAAGGAAATTATCAAGCTGCTTGTTAATTGTACGATGATAACCACTTTTTTGTTAGCAATAGCTTATATAGGAAAAATTCAAAAAAGTTTATCTAAGCAATCTATACATAATGACATAATTTCTTATTTATATATTTAATTAATTGGTATTTTTTAATTTTATAATTTGTTTCTTTCCACTAAATGCTGCACCAGCTTTGTCATAAACAGCAAAGAATTTCTTTTTCAAAGTTTCATCATTATCATTTTCATCACCCCAAACCGTCACTTCATTCCTCATATCAGTGAATTTGCCATCTTTCATCAATGAAACAATTTCTTCAAGCATCTTGACGCGCTCCTCTTTTGGATGCAATTCATTCCATTTTGCCATCCAAAATCCATGAAATTTGATGTTTTTAAAGATTAATAAAGATGCAGGAATTGTGATTGGTTGATGAGACATTGCTCCATATGTTACAACATGCCCTGATTCACTATCATTAAATGAGTGAATGAGTTGGTAATTCATACATAATTTATAATTAATTAATTAATTAATTAATAATAATATATATATATACACCTTAAATGTTTTATCATATCAGTTGTTGCTTTTCCTCCAATACAATTCAAACCTAGTCTAATACCACTTGAAGTTTTATGTTCTAATAATAAATCTTTAATAGTATTCTTGAATTTAAAATGAGATAATTCTTCATCAGTTGCTGTATAAGTAGCACCAAGTGAACCAAGATGTGATTTTAATTCATCTATATCTGGTCTTTATATGTATATCATACACATGCATATCCACAAAAAAAGAAAGTGAGTAAAGAGTATCCTAAATCACAACAACAACAATATTGGTCAATTAATACAATTAATTGATAATTAGAAGAATAATAAAACCACCTGTTTCTAACAATATTTATAGTTTTTATTCCCCATGCATTTGCAATTTGTATTATTGATTGACCAACACCACTATTTGCACCATTTTGAATCACAAAATCATTCTCTTTTAAATCAACAACAAAATCTTTTAACATTCGATAAGCTGAACATGGATTAACTGTTAATGTTGCTGCTTGAATCAAACCAATTCCGTCATTAGGAATACGAGTGACTTCATTTCTATTTGCAATAGCATGTGTGCACCATGTACCTGACAAAATATCAATATGATGAATTATTATTATTATTATTATTATTTTTTATTAATAGATAAATATAAAATTCTACCAAATCCTGGTTTCTCCATCACAACCCAATCACCAACTTTAAAATCATTATTTAATTGATCACTGACAGCAATCACTTCAGCGACGCCTTCATTTCCTGCTATTGCAAATTCATTCTCATTTTCATTATTATTATCAATGACTGCTAATTTTCTGAATGTAGGTTTTGCAGGTAAACACCTTCAATTTGATTGATATCTGATGGATTTATGGGAAATGCCAAAAATTTCAAGTATATGGTCGTTTGTGTTAAAGGTGGTAAGCGGTAGCTATGAACACTAAATAAATGAATGATTATTTAATTATTTATCAAACAATCAGTAAAGTTCAATTAATAAAGTTAATCAATTTAATTTACCAAAGCATGGGCATTTAGTAATAGAATTATTATTATTTAATTATTCACATTATTTGACATTACTTGAATTAAAAAAAAAAAAAAAAAAAAAAAAAATTCAACTATATACATTAGATCTACTAGGTTCTACTAGTACCAGGTTCTAATTTATTAATAAGATCATTGAGATGATCCCCCACATGCCTGGTTAATGCACCATCTTTTCCCGTTTCTTTCTGCATGTGGATGACGTTATTTTTGAGATGTTCTATGACTCGTTTCCCGCTCCGAGTTTCTTTTTTCAAATAATCCTTTATTAATGGATCGTTAGGATAATCTTTTAATGGTATCCAACCTTTCCGAGCATTGATATCTTTCTCAATTCCAAAACAATTATCCTTATTATTGAGTATATCTGACACATTTTTAAGTTGCTTCACCGTTATTTTACTTAAATCACTATCTTCAGTAATCACTTTGGCAATATCTCCTGTTCCAAAAAAATGGTCGATTTGTAAATTTATAGGTTTTTCTACGAGTTCAGTATACTTGGTGGTGGGACCATTACGCAAAGCATGGTTTACCCCAGGGTTGGCAAATTGACTGGTCCATTGAGAACTGATGGACTTTGAGCTGGTCCATTGCCATTAATAAAATACTAAATATAGTTAAAATGTTACACTAATGGACCCAATGGACCACACATTTGCCAACCCTGGTTTACCCATGCCGACATTTTTTTTGTGTCAGAAGAGCTGGAGTCGGGCTTATTTCCTTTGCTTTTATTGACCATTTTACAAGATTTGTTATTATTATCGTCATCACTATCATCTTCATCATATACAACATCATCATATCTTTCTTCTGATTGAGCGGGTAAATGATCCTCTACTTCTCTAAATTGATTTTCGAAATCTTCTTTAAAAAACTGTACTTCTGTATATATATAATTGAATAAATAAAATATTAACCAAATATAAACATAATAATAAACATATATGGGAATTAGACTAGGAAAATCGACCCTCAGACAAAAAATCTATTTTTAGTATTAAAATTGGTTACACATGTTTTTAATATATATACAGAAAATATTCAATTTTTTTTCCAATTGTAATCCTTGTATAATAGATTGATATTAAGTAAGAAAACTCAAAATAAAAAAATTAGCTGAGAGGTTGATTTTCCTAGTCCAAATCCCATACGTAAATTAATTGATTAATACTACTTACCAATAAAGCCCTCTTGGGTCTTAATTAAAATTTTATCATTGTGATTTAAAACATGCTCTCCGCCTGGTTCCAAGAGTAGATCATTAACAAGAGTTCTCTTATTTGAACCATTTTTTATAATGGTTTCAAAACCTAATTCCTTAATACAGTTTGTTTTTTTCTAACGGATAATAATGATAATATTATTATTATAGAAATGGTAATGATTTCAATATATGCATACAATAGATATGTATGATTAATTAAGTTATTGTTACTTACAATTGAACTAGAGTGACGACGAGTGGCGGGCGATAACCACCACCACCATACTTAAAACACTTACTCATCATTCCTTGTTGAGGCTTGTTTGGTTCTTTTTCTTTTATTTTGACTATACATTTTTTTGTTTTTACGAAAAAGAGTTTTGTGGTACAATTGACATGTACACGCTAATTATTTTATTGGTTTATTTGGTAGGACAGACACGAATTGATTTTTTTTTTCTTTTCTTGGAAAAACAATTTATTTTCTGACAGAGTCCAAGGTGACAAAACGTGAGTGTTGCTGTTTGGTTTGGTTTGAATCTCCTAAAGAAGAAGTGTTAATAACTAACCAGAGGTACTTTTTTTTACTTGTATTGATTGATATTTTTTATTTTTAATTGGAAATCAAAACGCGGAGGGTATAATTACAGGATTTTCATTGATAATATTTTGTTTTTCGTAATCAATAATATTAATAATATTATAAATATTATGATTACAAGAAGATGCCAAGGCAGCACACTGTTGAATATGAAACGTTTCAAATACGAAACATTTTGAGTATGCAACGTTTGATTATCAGAAATTTACAGGTGTTGAAGCATGCACGCTACCTGAACACTTTACAGTCATTCTCACATCTTCCTCATGTACACAAGGCTAATCTGACCACGTTTCTCCCGATGATACAATGATGTTGAAATCCAGGGGGGGGACGCAAAGCTCTGGAGTTTACAATGACTGCATCAATTGTCAATGGCACTTTCACTAATCTTCCCTCACCAGAGAAGGCTGCTATGTTAGCTGAAAAGTCAACTGCAACAATCCCACCTCTAGGGCAAGGATGGCACTGTGACCAAGTCACAACTCTGGAGGAATATCAAGAGAATCTGCAGCTTGTTCAAGCACAGTATGCAATTCAGAGCAGGGTTGGTGGCCCTGAAATTGCATTCGGACTCTGATGTTAAGAGGGAAGAGGGAAGTTGTAAAATAGTGTTTGTTTTGTATAATCATTTTCATAAACGCTCTGTTTCTCTGATTCTAACCAATTTATAATTTTGGGTAGGGGACTGGATTGGGTTTTTGCCCAATCAGTTCCCCTGTTATATAGATTAAAATTATCGCATAATTATATACATCTTTGTCAGCAATATGGCCAGCAAGAAAAATGCCATAAAAATGGTTTGGATTTTGGTATGTTTTGTATAAGTTAATCATTCCCATAAATTTTTTGTTTTGTAAATTTTTATCTGACCAACTGAATTTGTTGATTTTTAAATGGGGGCTTTTGCCCATATAACCTCCTACTCTAGGATAGGAGAGTGTAGCTCAATGAGAGAGTTATCTTACAAGTATATAGGTGGCAGTTCGATTCTGCCCACTCCTATTGTGATAGTCACCATGATCACTGGCATCAAGGAGAGAGCTGTAAAATAAAATGGTTTGGATTTTGTTTGGTATGTTACAAATTAACCATTTTCATAAATTCTCTATTTTCTTTAATTTTTATTTGACCAACTGAATTTGTTTTTCAAATGGGGGTAAGGTTATTGGTGAGCAGGCATGCCACTGACCAGACAGCAACCCAGGACTTATAACTCTGAATCCAAAACAGCAACCCAGGTTGCAACCTTCCAGGTTGGTGAATTTTGAATTAGTAGCAGACACCAACTTTATTCTAGTGAGAGAGGTACAACATAAAGCAATCATCACCCAAGCATCAGCTACCAGTGATCAATGCCCATATGGCAATAGCTGTCCTGGTCTGAGGGGAAGATAAAGGAAAGTTTTGTCCAAAGCCTTCCAACTGTGGGGGGCATCAACTGTGGAAACAATTCCATAGTTATGATGTGTGTGAAAGCACTTGACTACATGTTTGTGACAGGAAAATTTTAATTAAATCTGACACCTGCAATCAATATCAGGTTTATTATTCATAAGGAACCATGATTGATAATCAGGAAAAGTAACTTATTATTGTGAACCCCAGAGATCTGGGTAGACACACATTATTAAAAGTTTCGTTTATGCATGGCCTTGGTATCATTACTACCTTGGTGATGCAATTGCTTGTTATGTCAATTATAACATCAAACATATTGAATAATAATCATGAATATTTGATGGATGGAGGCATTCACATACAAGGAAATGATTAAATAGCTAAGTCATGTTTGTTTTATTAAAGATATATATAATTATATTTAAAAAGTAATTATTTTTATTCCACTCTTGCAATGAAAGGTATTATTCTGAAATCATTTGTTTATTTAGCATTAATGATTGAATCAATCAC